CGGCGGTTCTCCCGGCCCCCGCGGGCACGCAACGCCTCCTCTGGAGGCGTCGCCACCGGGACCCGGAGGCGGGGGGCGCACACTGGACGCCTCCACCGGACGCCCCCCTTGCAGTGGACGCCTCCACGGGAGGCGTCCGCTGCAAGGGAGACGGGGGGCGAACAACTCGGCGGCGGCGGCGAGAGAGAGGTGAGCATGTCGGCCCCCCCTCTCCCCCAACACACGTCCTGGGGTTTTCTCGGCCCCCCAGGGGAGCGCAGCGCCTGCGTTGGAGGCGTTACCCACGGGGGCCGAGAGGTACCCGCGCCCACAGGAAGGGAGGCGGGGGGGCCGAGCGACTCGGCAGAGCAGCAGCGAGAGAGCTGACTCGGTCGGTCCTCATCGCCCTCGCCATGGGTTCGGAGGTGCTCTCACGGCCCCCGAGAGGGCACGCGACGCTTCTAGTTCTTGGAGGCGTTGCCCGCAAGGGCCTGGAGGAGGAGCCCGCGCTCACAGCAGGGGGAGCGCCCCCACGCGGGGCGCCACCTCTCTGGGGGCCAGGAACATTCCGCGCCGACAAGAGGGGTGGCGGGGGCCGGACGACTCGGCGGCGACCAGGGGGAAGCGATTCGCTCGGTCCCCCACCCCTTCCCCGTCGATCTGCGTCGGTTTGCCGCCCAGCGATCGCCTAGCCAAAACGCTATACGACCGCAGATTGTATTAGATTTTGCGTATACATCCATGTGCACACACACACATATATAAATATATAGATATATGTATGTGAACCCGGCGCGACCCCAAGTAGGGGAAAGCCTGTTGCATGGGCGCATCGCTTGGCGCATCGCTTGGCGTTGCGTGGCACTGCTTGGCATTGCTTGGCGTTGCTTGGTATTGCTTGGCATTGCTTGGTACTGCTTGGTACTGCTTGACACTGCGTGGGATTGCTCTGCATGGGTTAGCATTGCTTTTCATGGATTGGCGTTGCCTAGGTGCGTCACATTAGGAGGCACCTGGGGCGGGGAATCCGAGGAACCCGAGGAACCTCTGGGCAACGGGCAACGTAAGAATACGAGGCACCAACTATCAACCAAGTAAGAACCCCTTAGGCAAGCCTAATGGGGGAACTCTTGTTCTTAAAACCACAAAGCAAAACCCAACCCTATCGTACAGTATGGCGGTCCTTGTGTCTGGACAAAGACCTAACAACCCAAATAACAAACCAAGCAACAACCACATTGCATGGTACAGTACCTCTTATTTGCTGTCCTGGCAACAGCCGAGCAACACCATAGTAATAACCTAGGAACAACGGCAAATGTGAGTGTGTTGTGCATGTGTGTCACATTGCCTCCTAGCAGAAGCCTAGCAACACCCTGCAACAACCCAGCAAGTCAAACGCTACATCATCGCACACAATCTTACATCGTATCTCACATCCTAGCGGCACCTAGTAAGACCCTAGCACGGAAGTAACAAACACGCTAGCAACGTTATAGGAGAACACAGTCGTATCCGTTCAGATGTGGTATTACCCTACCTTATCCTGTTTCTTGTCCGCACCCTCGCAAAAGCCTAGCAACACCACAACAACACCAGAACAACCAGCAACATCACAATACGTTTTCGATCGTGCCATAGAGAAACAACACCCTAGCAATACCCTGGCACAATAAAGCACGATGGTATACTATAGCATCCTGTCTCTGATGCCGCATCCACACAAAAACTGAGCAACACCCTAGCCAAAACAAACACGCAAGTTTGATTTGCTTCGAGCGATCCCCACCGAAACATTCGGCGTGTGTTCCCAACGGTGCGCGCGCGCCTGCTGGAGCGATGTGCGCGGGGCCAGGTCGCAAGCTGACGTTTCCCGAGAAAGTGTAGCAGTCCCAGGGCCCCTGACGCTCGAGCTGTCGGGCTTGGGTTTTCTGGCTCGGCCTTCGGATTGCGTATGGTTTCAGGTCGGGTTTCAGACTTCGCATCTTCGGTGTTCGGTGGTCGGTGTTAGGCGTTCGGTGTCCGGGCTTCGGGCTTCGGGCTGTTGGGTTCTGAAGGTGTCAGGCTTTCGGGTTTGCCCGTTTCGGACCGCTTCGGCGCTCGGTGCTCGGGTTTCGGATCTTTGGTTGCGGTGCTCGGGCGCTGGATTTCAGGTTTGGGATGGTTTCGGGCTTGGGGGTTCGGTCTTCGGGCTTCGATTTCTGGGCTCCTGATTTCTAGCGAATGGCGGGCTTGGGGTCTCGGGCTCCCGGCCTCTTCAAAATTCTCCAAAAGGTTCCCTGGGACTGGTCAGGACTCCTCGGGCCCTCCAAGATTCTCAGGTTCTTCAGGACTTTCCAGACCCTATAGCACAAACGCAACCAGCAACACAGCGAACCCACGGCAAACCTGCGGCAAACCCATGGAAAACGCCGCGCCAGAGGCGGAGTTTGCCCTGGTGGCCGAATACTCACCCCAAGACGCAATGCAGCGCGTCGGAAGGCCTCAGGAGGCCTCAGGAGGCCTCAGGAAGCCTTAGGATGCAGAAGGTCTGGAGGCAGAAGGCCTGAAGCCGCAGGAAGCCTCAGGAAGCCAAGGGAAGTCCCAGGAAGCTGCAGGAAGCCTCAGGAAGCAGCAGGAAGCCGCAGTCAGCCGCATGAAGCCCCAGGGAGCCTCAGGAAGCCGCAGGAAGCCCCCGCAGGAAGCCTCAAGAAGCCGCAGGAAGCCCCGGGAAGCCGCCGTAGGAGGCCCAGGAAGCAGCAGGGCGCCGCAGGAAAACGCAAGAAGCCTCAGGAAGCCGCTGTAGGAAGCAGCGATCCTGAGGTCGCCAATGGAATCCCTGGGAATCCATCCCGAAGGTTCTACAATAGCGATTCTACTGGGATCGGAATTGAACGGATCCCAAGGCATCTGCATGGGGAGGGGGCTCCCGCCTGAGCCCGTCTCGCAGTTCACTCACAGACAAGCCCCCGCCTGAGACTTCCTCAAGATGCAAGCCTCGGGGGCCCAAAAGTGATGACAGTTACAGGTTTCGAATGACCCGCTCGGATTAGTAACATGACCTGCGGGCCCCATCCATAGGGAGGGGCTCCCGCCCGATACGTCCTCGCAATTCGCTCACAAAAGAAGCTCCCTCTCGAAACCTCCTCCGTATGAGTGTGAGTGTGTGAGTGTGTGTGTGCGATGATGGTGATGATGATGCTGCTGCTGATGATGAGGATGATGGCGATGGCGATGGCGATGGCGATGATGATGATGATGATGATGATGCTGCTGATGATGATGATGATGATGATGATGATGATGATGATGATGATGATGATGATGATGATGTCGATGATGATGATGCGAGTGGTGAGGATGGTGAGTATTAGGATGAGGGTGATGATGATGATGCTGATGATGATGATGATGATGGTGGTGGTGGTGATGGTGATGTTGGTGATGATGATGATGATGATGATGATGATGATGATGATGATGATGGTGATGCTGATGATGTTGATGATGGCGATGGCATGGCGATAGTGATGTGATAATAATAATGATGCTGATGATGATGATGATGGTGATGATGCTGTTTATGTTGATGGTGACAATGATGATGCTGATAGTGATGATTATGCTGCTGCTGGTGATGATGATGGTGATGATGATGATGGTGTGATGGCTGATTACCGATGACTACGGCGATGATTATGATGACGATGCTACTGACAATGATGATGGTAATGGCGATGATGACGTGGGTGTGTTATTTTGTTTGTTGTTCTTCCTCGCGCCTCTGAGGTACCATCTTGGGGCCTCTCGCCCACTGGCCGACGCGCCAAACACTTGCCAACCAGTCACGCGCCAGTGATGCACGATAGATCAGGATAGTTTCTGGGGGGGAATGGCAAGAGGCAGCCGAGCTAAACTAGGAAGCGCGGGAGAGAGAAGCTAGCTGGCGCTGTGAGCGCAACCACCAATTAACAAAAACAAGAGAGGATCGAACTTCGTGACCATATAGCTGGATGGTGCGCCTGCCTAGTGTTCAGCCGAATGCGACAGCCATCAATTTGAGCTTGGTACTACTGAGGTAATGAATGAGACCGATGGGTCTACGACATGACGTGGGAGTGTGTTTGTTCCTACGCAGGGGTCCAGATAAAACACCAACACTACCTAGGATGTGGAAAGGAAAAAGGAAAGTGAGGCTAGAAAGAGAAACCATCGCGCTCCCGCGCGAAGGTAACATGTACCGGTGGTAAACGCAATGCGGTCGCTCGCCGGGCCAAGCCTGGTGCAGCAACTCCAGCACGCTGCAAAAGTAAGATGCTAAGTCAGGGTCGCAGTAACTGCTGCGATTGTTGAAGTAGTTGAAGTAAGTGGCTCCGCTGTAATTTGCGGATAGTGAAATTCGGAGGGCACGCTTTCTGGAAACGCGCAGATCAGCACGATAGGTATTACAAAATATGGGCCAAACTCGATGTCCCACAATCCATTTCAAGTGCAGTCGAACACCAAAAGCCGAGCTAGTGCACAAAGTGCTGCCTTCAAGATACGACCTAGCTGAGCGGCCTCATGGCCATGTGAACATCCCAGGCCAAGGGCCAATTCCACTGCAATTGCATGCGGACTGCTTGGGTGCGACATGAAAAATGCCAGGGAAGGTCTAACAAGGACCAAGAGAAGGCTGGATGCTTCCCATGATCTCCCAGACCCATCCTACAAAATGCATGTCACACAGAGGTGACGAACAAACCAAACGCACAGGCATGCACCCAGCACCTGTCGCACTAATGGTAAACGTCGTGTCGATACGTTGTGCTGCTTAACACAATCAATCGATGGATGGGATTTGCTGTCGCGCAAGACAGTCGCCTCGGGGTGGTAGTCACTCTCATACCTGCACGCAGAATGCTGGCCACAACTCTTACGTAGTCGTACCGCGCGGCAAGGGGTCTAAGATGCGCACACGGACGATGTGGCGGTGATGGCAGAATGCGAAGTCTGCAGGGGTGGGGTGTAAGCGAGCGAGACGATGCCATGCGGACTGTTCTTCATCGGTCTCCAGGCAGTGCAGGCCCCACTTCCAGACTAGATTGCTGGCGCAGGTCAATCAACTCAAAGAGAGATTGCTCGAGCTCTTCCGATGTCGTCCTGCTGTGAAGGTCCTCTTCCCATGCCGAGACTATTATACTCACAACTTGCGGATTGGCAGCGCCACATGCGCGTAACGAGTCGAGATCCGGCCGTAAGCCAGCACAGACCTTCAACACTAGTATATGGCTTGGGATGTTCAGGTCGCTGAACGGGATGCTACCTGTCAACACCTCATGCATCATCACGCTGCATGAGAACACATCTGAAGGGAGCTCGTATGAGGCTCGCAGGAGCACTTCTGGTGCCATGTAGCGCAGGGTGCCGAATGAGAGGGTGGATTCGGCCCCCTCATTGTCATCGAAACGGGCCAGGCCCAGGTCGCCCAGTATCACCTGCGGCATGACGGCGCCCTCAGGCCCTCGGCTCACGGGGTGCGAGAGAAAGATGTTGTCGGGCCTCACGGCAGAGTGAACGATGCCCTTCCCGTGCAAATACGCCACGCCGGAGACAGCCTGAGCAACCGCCCGCAGGCGGTGATCCACAGTGAATTCGCGGGAGCTCGTGCTGCTGGCCCCGTGGAGCAGCTTGTGCAGCGAGCCGCCCTGGCACAGCTCGAACACGAGGCACAGGGGATTGCACGAGAGGACGTGCAGCAAGCGGATCAGGTTCGGGTGCTCGAGGTCCTTCAGCAACTGCGCCTCCTCGGAGCCCCGCTGGGTCGTCCTGCCGAACACCTTCCAGGAGCGCTGAAAAAAAACATAGAACTTCATGTGATGTTGATACTGAACCTCTCCGTGCACAACACGTGTGCGGGATAAGCCGAAACGGGTGGGGAGACGCATGCAAAATGTTCAACTGGGTCCGCATGTGGAGCTCCAACAGGGGCGAGAAATGTGCAAAGGGTACACCTTCATGCGCGGGGAAACGAATACTGACTGTGCCACTGGGGCCGTAGGTGAGATTCGCATGAGGCGTGTGCCGAAACGGGTGGAAGTACGCAGGATAACTTCCCCACTGAGACCCTAGGCGGAGCTCCCTATGAGGCCACGGGGCGCACGCGGGGAGTACCGAAATGGGAGCTGATGCGCCATACGTCGGCGCGCCCACTGCGACCGAGGGTGGAGCTCTCCATGAAGTCACGATACGCGTGAGGGGCGTGCCAGATTGGAAGCGGGTGCCCCACGCGTCGGCGCCAAGTGAGACCGCAGGTGGAGCTCCCCATGGGGCCACGAAGCGTGAGGTGAGGGGTGTGCCGAATTGGGGACGGTGCGCCACACGTCGGCGTCCGCGGAGACGGTAGGTTGAGCTCCATCTGGGGCCACGGAGCTCGGTGAGGGGTGTGCCGAATTGGGGGCAGGTGCGCCATGCGCCGGCGCCCACTGAGACCGTAGGAGGAGCCATCTATTGGGCCACGAAACTCGGTGAGGGATGCGCCGAATTAGGGGCGGGAGCGCGATATACGTGGGCACCCACTGAGGCCGTAGGTGAAGTTCCCTGTGGGGCCGCGGAACGTGTGGGGAGCGTGCTGAATTGTGGCATGTGCGCCGTACTTCGGCGCCCATGGAGACCGCAGGTGGAGCTCCCTATGGGGAAACGAAACGTGATGTGAGGGGTGTGCCGAATTGGGCCGGTATGTCATACGTCGGCGCCCGCTGAGACCACAGGTTGCGCTCCCCATTGGTCCACTACCCGGGCGAGGGGTGCGCCGAAATGGGCATGCGGAGAGCAGAGGCAGGAGGAGGGGGAGGGCGTAAGGAGGTAAGGCGCGGCGCTACGGGTTCAAAACGAGGACCAAGCTCACACAAAATGGTTGGGAAATGGCACACAAATTCTGGGCGTCCACTGACGGTTTCTCCGCCCGCGGCGGGCCCCGCGGCGCCGAAGGCGCCGCCGCAGGTCTCGGCGCTGGCCGAGAAACTGTCCGCGAAACTCTAACGTTCGTGCTCGAGCGTGTTTTTGTGCTGGGGCCTCCGGACCCCTCGCACGAAATCAAGGGGGACGGGTTCCGGACCCCAGGGCTCTCCCCATGACCAGCTTCTCATCACGAGCCTGCAGCGCGCAACCGGGCGCTACTTGCGCTGTTCCTGGCGGGTCCTCAGCTCTAGTGAAGCCGAAATCGGCCGCAAAACTTACTTCTAGGGCCTGTTTTCATCAGGACCCCTTTAGTTCATGGAGCAGAAAAAGGAATGTTAGCCAACCCCAGAAAGTGCGTGATTGCACTGTGGTATCGGGTGTGAGCCATGTGATGAAAGCTACGCCTTGCAAGCCATGTGGGGTGAGCTGAGGTGAAATCTATGCGGTGTAAGCCGTGGTGTGAGCTATGTCGTCTAAGCTAGGCGGTGTGAACTGGAGGTGAAAGATATGGAGTGCAAGCTGTGCGATGTAAGCAATGCTGTATAATCTCACCAGCCCTCTGGATGAAGGTGGTTTACAGAATTCTTTCTCTCATCTTCCAAAACCCCTCTTCCCTTCGGGGAGGGGTGCCTTCCCCCTCCCCTCCCTGGGTTTTTAATAGGCGTTCGCGAGGGGATAAAGCGTCCAAGATAGCCCAAGATGGTTCCAAATTGGCGTCGGATGCTCCACGATGACCTCCAAGATGGCTCACGATAACCGAAGATGGTTCAAGATAGCTTTCGACATGCCTCCAAGAGGCCCCAAAGGGACCGTGAGACGGCTCCAAATGCTCTCAAACCCCCTCGGGATCCCCCCAAAAGACCAACATCCGGCAAACACCGTAAGAACATCAATGGTGCCTGCCTTCTCTCCGTTTGCGCCAACATGGCCCAAGAAAGCCACAAGAGGGGCCCAAGAGGCCCCCAAGACGCCCCCCGAAACGCCCCGAATCGGCACAAGAGCGCCCCAAAAGCGCCTCAGGCGGCAATAACAAAGATCCCAAAGGGGGAGCGGAAATCGGAGACCCCCCTTCCTTTGATCCATGGCCCCCAAGATGGCCCCAAGAGGCCCTCCAGGGCTCGGAAGGCAGCCCCAACAGGGCCCCAAGACTCCCCAAGAGAGCCCCAAGAGGGCCCCCAGACCCCCCCAAAGGGGGGTCCAAGAGAACCCCGACACAGCCCCAGGGGGACGCTAGAAGGGCCTCAAGAAGACCTCAAGATAGCTACCAGAGTCCTTGTCCTCGTCCTCGTCGTCGTCCTCCTCCTCCTCCTCCTCCTCCTCTTCCTCCTCCTCCTCTTTCTCATCCTCCTCCTCCTCCTGCCCCCGTCCTTCTATTCTTCTTCCTCCGCCTCCTCCTCCTCCTCCTCCTCCTCCTCCGTCCTGTTCCTGTCCCTGTTCCTTCGCCTCCTCCTCCTCCGCCTCCTCATCCTCCTCCTCCTCCTCCTCCTCATCCTCCTCTTTGCGCTCCTGTTCCTAATTGTACCTCTCTGGGCATATGTTCCACTGCACGTTTCTACATGTCCCTGCTCAAGGCAACTCAGCTGGGCATCGCTTCAAGGTAGATTCATCTCGTTCCCCGTCAGCTCTCACCAGCAGCGTTTTTGAATGCTTCTGACTGGGTTGCTAGGGGTACGCGAGACGTGAAGAATATATGCGATGTACGCTATGTGGTGCGAATTACGTGGTGTAGGTTATGTGGTGTCAGCTATGTCGTGCAAGCTCCAAAAAAAGGGTGCCCGCGACTCGACTGCGAGGCGGCCGGGGCGACAACGTGGCTCAGCCTCGGCACCACCCCCCCCCGCCCCACGAGGCGAACGCGTGGCGCAACCTCAATTCTGGCATGCCCCCCAAGCACGGGGCGGCCACGCGGCACCCAAGATGTGGCGCGGGTCGCAACAGGGCAACAATCCAGAGATCCCAACCAGCTGCCGTCACGAAGCAAGGCGCGAGCCCCCAAGTACAAGCACTGCTTGGGGAAAACCTGGCATGAGCATGTCTACCACCGTCGGCCCCAAAAGCAGTTTATTGATGCCTCGATGGGTATTCTGCGTGGTGCAACACACGTCGCGCAAACTGTATAGGTAAGCTATACGGTGTAGTTGCTTTTTGCATCTCAGGAATTGTCAACGCCACTGCTCCCGCAACCATCCCACCCCGCAACTTGGCTTGCAAAACCCATGCCGCCGCGATTGCGGCGACTCCTTGGCCATGGGTGGCGCACGTCTGCGGCCGCGCTGGCACTCGCAGGCTCGCGCGCAGAGTGGCCAGCTGGCTTGGCAAAGCCGATGCGGCCGCGACGGCGCGTACCGATGGCGGCGCCCCATCGCGCGCCAAAGGCCGCGCTGCCGCGCGGGCGCTTCAATGCGGGTCAGTGACTCGGGCGGGCGCTGTGTACCAACGGCGCCGACAACGGCGCCAACGATGATGATAGCACGATGGTCGTGGCGATGATGGCATACGACGGCAAGGCCAATGAAGGCACCGATGTTGGTAACGCCGGTGACGATAATGACGTCCATGCGTCGATGATGACGGTTCTTGCATGCTGATGGCGGCAATTGCGGCGATTGCCAATGCCGACGACGTGATGCACCGGCGCTGATGTGGGCGGTGGTGGGGAAGTGCGCCCGCGCCGAAATGAGGGACCTCGGCACCCTTATGTCGAACAACAATTTTCCATGCGTTTTTGAAGAGTTCGATTTTTAAAACCAATGATTAAGGAATGGGTTCGACACGCTGGCGTGGCGGCGCGCGCGCGTGGCCATCATGACATTCTTTGGTGCGGAATCGTGAGCTGGGCGGTAACCATGATGCACCGCGCGGTGAAACCTGACTGTGGGGCTCTGGGCAATACTGCTGAAATCGGATGGATGTCCTATGACATCAGCAATTGCGCTCGGGCGAATACTGTGCCAGATATGCACCAGGAAACCGAGAAATGTGTGATGCTTGTGCGCGTTGAAAAATATTTGCACATCTTATGTGTTTGGCATGAGTTCGACATGTGCGCGCGCGTGGACTGTCTGCCGCCTTTGTGCAACAGGGTCTTGGGTCTTTGTGCAACGGAGTCTCAGTGCAACGGGGCCACGTCCCAGAGGGCGCCATCAAGTCCAAGGGGAGAGGGTAGACGGAGCTATCCGCGAGGACACACCCGGACACATAGCCAAAGCGTTCCTAAACCTGCTCCCACACGGGGCCGGCAACCGCCGCGGGGACCACGCTGGTCGGGGCCGCGCGTTGCGCTTCGAGGAGTGGGGCCGCTACCCGATGACGTGGCACGACGGGCGCTTTATGCGCCACGCGCGGTTCAACGGTTCTGGCGCTGGCTCCTGGACACCATGCTGCGCATGATGGCCCCTGGCGGGAAGCGCGTCTTCTTCCGCGCGCGCCAGCATGGGACGCGTGCGCATTGGAGTCGCTAGCAAATGCTTCCAAACGCCGCGGGCTCGCGCAGCAAATGTCCAGCGCGGCGAACGCGATCCCAGGCTCGATCGGAGAGCGCCGGAAAATGGGGCAGGAGCTCGAGGCGATGGTCCACCAAATCGAAGCCGAAACGGCTGATCTGGGCACGAACGGAGGCGCCGGTCGAATTCTGGGCGGGCTTTGCACACTCACGCGCGCCGTGTGCAAGCGGGCGCAGCTGCATGACGCAGCGCTGAAGGAGCACCTTTCCGGTCCTAGCGATGACTCAGCATGTCGTGAGTACTGCGCCCAGTGGCAGGCGCCTCCTCCAGGCTCTGCCAAAGAGACCGCCATGGAAAAAAAAAGTTCGAGCTCGCAGTGCGCGAGCCGGGCCTGGTGGCGTGGCACTGCGCGGTTAAACTGGGAATGGCTGTCGCGC